ATCCTATTTCATTTGTCTGCAAGTAAACGAATAAACGTATTGAAATGGTATACTTTATTGGTTAAAGTACTTAACACTAAAAGGCGTTGTTTACATTAAACTTAATATTGATCGAGTTTTCATAGGTAATGTCTCGAGCTGGCGGAGCTAGCTATCCTATCGTAGGGTTGTCATAGAAACCGTCCCTGATGTGAAAGCATGATACGTACAAGAATGTTAATAGAAGGTAAAGATAAATATGTAGTTAATAGAAGTTTCCATATTAGACCATGTACATGACATACGTCATACATGCGAAGACGCAGCCTCCAGATAAAATTGTTAACTTACATTTTAAATTTTAATGTCCTTTCGAATGTATTATAACGTTTAATCAAATTCAACACTTTAATAGAATCATCTTATTTTTTGTATTGTTTATTTTAGAATAGAGCATAAAGTAAAGGAATTGAAAAAATAATCACAGTTGCCGGATACTATAGCGCGAGTCATGTTAATTGTAAACATGTGATTCAGCTCATTACAGTGATAGCAGGGGATAATTTGTAGCAGAGCAGAGATCCTTGGATAGCAGTGTGCACTTATATCCTGGGTTATCAGTGTTAGAGATATACTTATATACACCGTTCACATACACATAGGATGTCAATGGTAACCTGTCCCAGGGATAATGTACGTTTACTATAATCTATACTATATATAGTGATACTATTAGGAAGGTATTAGACGGAAACATAATTTGTGCGATTCATAGCAGGTTCTCATCAGATAATATCTTGACATGACAGACATACGTGCATACGTTTCATGGTGTGTATGCTGCTATGCCCATTTCTAACTGATCTTGTCTTCTTCGCGTGAAATGCACGCTCGGTGTTCTTCTTCTTTGGACTCGCCAATGTACACACACACTTTCCTGAACACAAATTTACTACATTGAACATGTAATTCCCACTGAACAGTTTACTTTTTTAGGACGAAGCGATGGTATTCAGTTTGGAATAGCGTAGTATTTGTTACGTGCAGATGCTTTGTGCTGCAGGGGTCCAGTAGGGTGTGCTTGCTGGCAGGGGCCTGTATTTAATGCTGCAGGGGCTGAGTTATATTTATACCGTTTTTTGGATTAGTGACCTCGGAAGCTCAAATCCAATGTGCCCGAGACATTCAGAGGGCAAAGTTAAGTCTCAATGTGGCCATCCTTGGACATAGTATAGATGTGATTATCACGGGCACGTCACTTAGTTCTAATGGTGTGAACGTTATACTTCAACCATGGTGGTGTCTATGTAGCCTGTCACACGGTACGGAATAGCCTTGTAATTTCTGAGAAATATTAGCTGCGGCTGCATAACGAGTTATGCTTAAATATGTCATACTGCAGTGCTTATGAAATAGTTTCTTAAAGCAAGTAGTGCAAGCTAAATATAGCGAATGCAGACATTAAAGTGGTTTTTCAGAGATGTCAGGCAAAGCCATGTGAAATGGCTGTATTTATAAGCATCAATTTTAGTGGTGTAACTGTATTATGATAATGCCGGAAAAAAATTCTAAATTTATTTCTTTATCTGTTATGTATTAATAACTATCTACGTGACATGCGCAATAAAATACATACAATGAGCTTAATACACGCCATACTTCCAGGAGTTCCGATTTTGCGATTTTGATAGTTGCTTGGTGTCTCCTGTGGGTAAGTAGAGTGGTAGGTGGTGCGACATGGGAAAAAAGTTTTTGTATGCAATTTGTTTGACATTAAATTAATATTTGTCGGGTATAAAATCCATGTCATTTTAGAAACTTTATACCCTAGTAGCCAAGGCTGCAGCATTAGTATATTCAAGGTGTTGGCGTGGATCTTAATTTTGCTCGTAGTGGACAAATCGTAAGTAGTCACACGTTATTATTGTACATTATGTATATCATTCGTCATTTGTTAAGTTCTGTTTGATTCTATGTATTTTAGTGGGATATGTGTATATTGGTCGTGTATTTGCTAAGAAACAATTTTCCGAGTCGAGGTGTTGGGAGACAATTGAATCAGATGTTGCTAGATTTTTTGCATGTCTTTTGTAATGTCATGCAGTGACGCTCCAAACTTACCACTAACCATAAGAGACAGAGTATGATGAGTGACTCAATAGCAAGGCCAAGTGCAGCGGACATATTTCTTTTTCATTATATGCGTAACCTCAATTTTAATGTCAGTACGACGGATTGTACTGTTGTCTTCAAAGTTTCACATCGTCATGACCTACTGCCTCTTTTCCGCCATTTTTCCTGAAGTGTAGCACTCATTAATAGAAGTATAAGATTAGCTTAATATTTTCAATAGTTGCAACTTATAACTTATAATACATTTAAGCCACACCTTTTATTGTTATACTGATATTATGATAATTAGTATGTTGTATCTATTGTATTGTAACAAAAGTGTTTGTAGCCTAGGTATGCCACACTTCTATTTAGAAAGCGGTTAATTGTGGTGTTTATACACGTTCTCCACATTTTTCTTTGGTGCAGTACCATGGCCATGGATACATGTGTTTTAACAGATCACTTAATGAGGATGCATTAACATCTGCAGAAACATTAGTCGGTTGATGGGAAACCAGGCAGCTCAGGTACCATGCTAGACGCAGATGATTATATAGCTGTTACCTCAGAGTGTAGGATGTAGTGATTGATTATCTAACTTTCTGCTTATCAATCTGAGAGCATCTGAGCCAGGATATGACGGCGAAGCTGGCGACCGGCCACTCGTGGCCTTACTTTTTCATCCAATTCGGTCGCTCTATGTAGATATTAACTACTCGAAGCTGGCGGACTACAGAAAGCCGATAATCTCTGGTCATTGAGCGTGTTGGGCGATTTGCATAGTGTAGCGAGGAGTGTTTGATGTGCATAAACACCGGCTACACCCGAGCTCGCCCCGTGAGAGAATGAAGCGGTGTTTTATGGTGCTAACGGCTAACTCGAGCTCGCCCCGTCGCGGAATTGAAGCGCTGTTTTGGGCATAAACAGGCTCCCGAGCTGCCGCTCGCCGGAGAATGATGCCGATTGTGTCACCTATGTGCGACAATGGAGGCGAGGCGACGGTGGAGGGCACGTGTCGCAGATCGCGTTGATAACTCGCCGTCAGTCGAGAAACGTGTCACGAAGGCTAGGGGTTGTATGGTGACCAATTACGACGCGCTTAAGGCGTAAGATCAAGCGAGTCAGGAGACCAACGC